GGCTTGGTCTGTAGGCCCTTAACCATACGAGTGGCCCTTCTCTGAACCCTCTCCAGGTTATCCGCATCCCTGTTGAAGTGCGGCGCCCAGAATTGCACGCAGTACTCCAACTGCGGTCTGACCAGCGCCCGATAGAGGGGAAGTATCACCTCCTTGGACCTATTTGTCATGCATCTGTTGATGCACGATAAAGTGCCATTGGCTTTTTTGATGGCTTCGTCACACTGCCGACTCATGTTCATCTTGGAGTCCACTAGGACTCCAAGATCCCTGTCCAAAAGTGATGCCTTTTTAGTGCAGGGATGTTCTTAGGGACCCTCAGTCTCCTGGCGTGCTCATGAAAGCGATGCAGGATGTGCCTGTTGTCGTTTGAATGCTGGCCATACAACAGCTTTCCAGCAGGCCACATGTGTAGAGCAGGAGGGAGTGGCGGGGGGCCTTGTTTGGATTTTTTTTTTCAGTGGCGGTCTCAGGGATTGCCACAAGGTTGTAAGATGTACCCTGAAAGGATTTTGAGCAGTTGGGAAACATCAGTCACAGCGCCCCAATTAATTTTCCCTTTCCTGGAATAGATTCCTTGTTTGTTTCCATGGTGCTGAAATGTATGGTAACAGTGCAACTTCTGCTGATACTTTATTGAAGGAACTGCATTTAATAAATATACTGCGTAGGTGGAAGCATGTATCGTGCAGAGTGATTCAGTATTAGTAACTTGGATGTGGGTGTTTTAAAGAGCAGTGGTTGATTTGATATTTGTTTGTTCTTTCAGATCCCAGGCACAATGTCCACACCTTACAGAGAGGAGGCTGAGGGTAAATGGCTTCTAAAAAAAAACTTCAAAGCCTTCCTTTTTCTCCTTGAAGCCAGCCAGCCCTCAGATCCGCCTCTTCTGTGTGCTTGCTTGACCCGTTCTCTTTGCTGTGAAGTAAACTAATATCTCTGCCTTCAGCACCCTCGGATGGAGCTCATCCGGGCCTGCTGACTTAAAGGCATCCAGTTCTTCCAAATGACTCTGCACCATCTCAGGGTCTACGCATGGTAGTCTGGCGCCTTGCTGCTGCCTCTCTACAATCCCAGTGAGAGACTTGTCGTGCCCCTCACTTAGGAACACTGAGGCAAAGAACTCGTTGAGAAGTTCAGCCTTGTCCCCTCTGTCCGTCACCAATTGTTTCTGCCCATTTAGCAGGGGTCCTATTCCTCCCTGGGCCTTCCTTTTACTCCCAATATATCTAAAAAACAATTTCTTGTTGTCTTTTACTTGGGTTGCCATCCTCAGCTCCATGGCAGCTTTGGCCCGTCTAACTGCCTCCCTACAAGCACGAGCAGAGGAGGTATATTCGTCTTTATATTGTGCATTAATTACAGCCACTGTAGCAAATTCGGTGGCATAATGTGCCTTAAATGACTTGGGTCGCAGCAAACTAAAATTCTTTGGCGGAGTTGTAGTTTGCTGCCCCTACAGCTGCAGAGCAAAGCACTCGGCTCCATGCAGCTCAGGGGCTCTGCAGGAAGCCCTGCAAGCAGCCTGACAGCAACTCAGGAAAGTAGGCTCCACCCAAGAAAAGCAGCAACTCTGATCTTTTTTTCCCCCTAGGTGTTCTCTTGGGAGTACATGAGGCATAAAGGGACACTAAATAGGCTAGGGGAGCAGCATGGTGCAGAGTGCAGCTGGGGATATCCAGGTGTGAGTGAGTGGGTGACCAGTGGGGTGGGAGCAACAGGGTGTCAAACTTGCATTCTGTAGACTTCTTACTGAGTGATAACCAATTTTTCTTTACATTATGGTTGGTATTGAATCCATAAATTGGAAACCAGCCCGTCTCTAGGTCCTGGCAGAAGGGTTCCATTTATCTTAGACAAAACATATCCTAGTAAAAAAGCTTGCACACTATCAATAAAAAGGAAAAAATTGTGTTTGGCAACTCTGTTTGGGGTCTGGCTATGCTCTTCACTTCTCACAACCCCCATCTGGAAGATGCTATTGAAATGCAATGAAACCTGAGTAGATACACAATAGCCCATAACTTGGGGAAAGGAAAAGTTTAGCATCTTCACTTGGACTAAATGAAAATGTGTTGATGTGCATGTGTGTGTATGCAGGGGAAGTAGGAATGAAGGAGCAGATTTAAAAAAATGAAGATAGTTGTTTGCATGATCAGAAAAGGTCATATACCTTTACTTTATATGTTTGCTTTTATAAAGTGAGCTGAAGGGAATATTGGCTCCCTAACTAAAAAAAAAAAAAGGAAAGCAGGCTGGGCCTGGTCTCCATCATCTGAAATAGCTGAGAGTGATACCAGCTGTGCTCTAAATGAAGAAGTGAAACCTATTATCATCACTGCATGATTTGCAATTTTGATATTATAACTGAAAAAGTAGGAATCAAACATACCACCTAAACCACATATGAAATATGTATCATGTACTGTCTGCCTGGAACTTGTATTCAGAATGGTACAGAAAGACTGTCAGAACTCATCCATCCCTTTGTAGTACATTAGATTTTAGACATAAGGCTTAAATTTAGACATGATGCTTTATTTTTGCAATATGCTTCTGTATTCAACATGGCTTGCCAATAGCTTCTGCATATAGGTTAAAGGCAGCTTTGCACATAGAGTTTCACAATCGCACCTGTTCAATGACCTAGAGTTACACGAAGATAAGGGGTTACTAAAGGACAATGAGTTTACCACAGCTTCCCCAACACGCATGTGCCATCATCTATCCCTAACTTGAAAGGCCCTGACATCCTGTGGAAACTTAGACGTAACGGTAAAGTTGTGAAGCTGCCAATAGTTGTAAGACACGCTACAATTCTTTGTTTAGGTAAGCTATAAAGAGACCCTCAGACAAAGACTGGGGGTCGACTCTGTTTTGGGTTACTTAACCCCTTTGTCGACCGATTGTGCATCAATAAACTTATAATGGACCCGGCCTGCATGTGTGACTCCCTCCTTGAGGTATTTGGAGAAAGCCTCCAGGGACACGAAACTAGCAATTTGTGCAACACCTTTGACCACTACCCCTTCCTGCCTGTCCAGGTGGGTACCAATAATACTATCAGGAACAACACTGAACAGATCAGATGAGTCTATGAGACTCTCAGAACCAGGATTAAGTTGCCTGCAGCACAAATTGCATTATCAATCCTGTCACTGGAAG